TGTGTAACTGTGAATGTGTATGTTTTAGTGAAAGTGTGTTAGTTAAACAATGTGTGTGACAATGACTGTGTATCTGTCAGTGAGTGCATATTGGTGCATGCATTAGTGAGGGCATGTTTCTGTCAGAAATTTGGAAGGGGGGGGGATGCCTGAGCTTTGTCATGCCAAGGGCAGCACAAAACCAGAACACACCACTGAGGCCAGGTAAAGAGGGACCTGCCCATAAGCTGAGACCTAGGCATTGAGACTCTTTTATACAAAGTAAAGCACTTAGCTAGATAACCTGTGAGTTTACAATATAAAGGAACTGCCCTCATTCCGGTGGGGAATGAGCCCTGACTCAAAACACTCATGGGGAATCTACATAAAGATGAAATCTGGGACAAAGTTTTAAAAATGTAATAAGCAACATTTGCTTGGTTTCCATGGAGACTGCCCCACTTTGGAACTTTGCCTCAAAATGTGCGTTATATGGAACCACTAGGGGCTCCCTGCAGGGCACATGAACGCTAAACCAAAATATTCTGAGTATGTAAATTGCATCCTTTATGACACATATATCATATCACAAATATTTTTACTTTTTCGGTTTGGTTTTTAGGGGGGTAAAAACACCAGTTGTGAATAGGGAGAGTGTACCACTGATGTGCACATAGGAGTCTCCGTTACTTATCAATGTGACGGGTGTATGTATTATTAATTACAAAATAAATGTAAAAACCCACGTCCAATTTTAGTTTTTTCCCCCGATAATTATTAATACCTCTCCTATATTGATATTAATAAGTAGCCTTCTCTTTCACCTTTGAACCCATTTATATATGAATGGTACCTTGCCAATGATGTGACACTAACAAGGTCACTGAGTAAAAAAACTATCGATTTCCTTTGCCTATAAATGAGAAATCCACTTATTTTCAGTGTTAGTCTGACTTTCCACTTTTCTTAGATTTTTTTTTTTAATCTTTTGGAATCAGTTTCCAATTTGTTAAAACCTTCGCTGGTGCAGAGACTTTGAACACGCAGCTTTGTTATATCTTACAAGGCCCGTAGTCGCAGGAGGTTAATCGAAATCTTAATTTCTTTAGGACTTTGTAATTCTTCCCTCAATGTCAGTGACCAAACAGTAATAGGGGTCAAGTAAAAACTTCATCTTTCTTATAAACGTCTTTGTCTGGGAAAATGAATATGGGCTTAAAGTGCACCTGTCACTTAAACTAAAAGTTTACATTAGAAAAAAGGATATAAAAAAGTGTTTAACAATTTTCTAAATGTTTTAAATTTATATTTTTTGCTAAAACATGCACTTTCTTCACCGGTGTTTTTATACTGATAACCTTTCTCCCGGCATGCACCTGCCCTCCCAGATATATTTGCTCCTTATTTGTATTTAAATTTATTTATTTATATAAGGTTCTACCTGGAAGAATACATTGAGATTTCAATTAAATACTTTTGCATAATTATAAAACATTCTAAATGATTGGTGCCATCAATAATTAGCTCAATGACATAGAACCTGAAATTACCATAAAAAAATCATGTTAAAATTTTTAAAAACGATAATGAAACAAACAGACAATTGCTTATGTTATCTTGATTAATGTGCACTCATTAGAATATAAACTCTCTTCAGCAGGTACATGATGATTGTACTCAAGTCTGCCGTGTGCTTTGACCGTACATGACTTCCTATTTAACGTTTTAAAGACAAGGTCCAGTCACAAACAAACATGACTTCTGACCACTCCTCGTCATCCATGGTTACTTTGCTCTTCCTCAATAAACAAGACCACACCTTTCTTGGTTGGAGAGGACAGTGGCCACAGCTTTTATGGTGAAATATGACCAGCAAGAAACACACTTAACAAACTGCCAGTTACTTGATTAATAACTAGTAGACAGATACCCCAACGGTTCTCAAGAGTCTTCTACAACTTGTTTCCTGTTTTCGACCAACAAGCAGGCTGCAACTGCCCAAGCCAAGTACGGATATTTATTTCTTTTCAAACTGGCAAGGCTAAATCACAAGCTGTGACAAAACAAAGAGAAAGAAAAACTATACAAGAAATACCAAACCAATGCAATATTAACATAGTAATGAATAGCAAAAATTCACAGTCAGGCTTCCTCGGTAATACCCTCTTCCTAAGACTCCCTGGTGCAGGTAAGGTCCTCAAACAAAAGTAACCATTTTAGACACCATGGCTACCAAAGGAGACAGCAGTCATCTTCCCCCTCCCTATGTGTCCGGGTGGACGGCCTGATCCGCAGGAGGGTGCAAGAAGGAAAGTGGGGTGTAAGAACAAATGTCGATTATGGGAGGAAAAGTGGGGCAAGAGAAGTGGCATATACACGCATTCTGTGTTAGAAAACTGACAAATGGTAAGGAACACACAAGTCGCAGCCAAACAAAGTCTACTGGCATGAGAACAATTATAGCCAAATTCTTATACAAATTTTGCTAAACTTTATTTAATTCTAAACATACACATACTATATAATAACTGATTGTTCTGCATTATGTTTGTCTAGATAATTATTTGAATGATGGGGAGCACAATGTTTTATACAATGGGAGATCTGTGCTATCAATCTACGCAGCATCTGAATATCTCAGAATACAATGCTTCTTACATGTATACGACCAAAGGAAGCGACTTCTAACTTTCACAGCAGACTCATTTTTTTTCTCAGTTTCAAAGCTTTTGTATTTCACATTCACACAATACATTTTTAATGAGGCAAGAAATAATAGTAGAAAATTTTTGTACCTTTCATGTTTAGTGTTTTCCTGTCAAAAAAGTCATGTCCAAGCAGGTGTAGACAGGTCAGACGACAAGATAATTTGTCTTTGAAAAATACCCCATACCCGATATCAAATGGACAGCCAATTAGCAGAGAGCCATTTATGAGAACATATGGATGTCTAAAAAGAATTTTAACATTTTAATTTGGAGAAGTGATATTTACAGCATAATCAGAACAAATGTTAGTGCAGGTATGCATGGAAGATAAGTTATCTTTGCCTTGTTCAAACATTATTTGCTCACCGTTAAGCTAACTTCAGTGTGAAAGCCTTTACTATGCTGGAAGACTTAAACCTCGATGGACGAGATCCCCAGGAAGCCTTTAGACACTTGTCAGAACATTGGTCTCCATAAAAGCACACTTGGAGTTTCCTTTTGGATTGTTGCCCGAAGCTGGAACGCTGGATAAAACACTCTTGTTTCTGTATGTTTGCTACACTATGTGCTTTTGCCAAGAATCAGAACTGAAAATTTACATCAATTCAGCTGGCATGAGTTTCCGCCTGACAACCTCACCAGCTGCGTTCAGCGCGGTGTTTTTAATAAACAGACTTAGCTTGGAAAACTCACAAAATGCTCGAATGATTAGGCAAGCAAGCTGTTTTCTAAAAAGTGTAAAAATTGGTTTCACAATAATGAACGTTTTGCTGGAGTTCCCTGTAGATGTTGCTTGCAATATTTCTTGCATTACTCCCTCTTGTGCTTTTTTGTCTATACAGATACAACTGTACGTTCTTCAGATTTCAAATTAATTCATTAACATTGGATATTTGACTCTTAACAGGGTCCAGTAGGCTATACCTGGGGTGCAAGGGGAAGGGGGGGACTGTCCTAGGTGACAGGAAAAGTGGAGTCCACGGAGCAGGGGGAGATAAAAGACACCAATGGTTGCGAGGGATAAGAGACACAAAGTGTTAAGGTTGGAATAATGCCCATGACACAAAGGGCGTTAAGGGGATGGGACTAAAAGTGACACAAAAGGGTTATGTTTGTAAGTGTTAGACAAGGAGGAATGAGGACAGTTAAGGGACATGCAAGGGGTGAGAATGGTTAAACAGATACACAAGAGGGTATTAATGACATGGTGGTCCTTTAATGACACGTAATATGGTGAGGGAGTTAACAGAGACATACAAGGGAATCAGCAGATATATATATAATGGGGTGAGGGCCAGTTAAGAGACACCAAGTAGGGTGGAGCATAACATAAAAAAATTATAATTCTGGGGGGAATCAACACACAATTAGGCCCAAAATGCCATATACCCCAAGCTGCCTCCATTCAAGATCCACATGAATGTCAGGACCCAAAGTGTCACAGCAGAACATTGCCCAGAGCATAACACTACCAGCTTTTGCTGGCCTGCCTTCTTCCCATAGTGCAGCCTATACATATATGTATATACACTCTTGTATATGTTTTGTAGTACACTGTTTGGCTATTTTAATTCGTCTTAATTTTCATGTTTGTCTTCCTGAACATTTTTTACATGGATAATATTTGAATGAGCTGAACTGCCAAATAATAACAAGTGTAAGAGATCCTAAACTAAACTGAGTTATCGGAATTTCCTGCGCTAACTCAAATTAACGCAGAGTGCAGGTAACAATTGAAATGGCGGAGAAGAAAGGAAATTTGGCATTTCACGGGTTCACCTGGAACACCCCTTGTTGGCATCAAGGCTGTAATTATGATTTAAATACATATTATACATTAACAGAGCACAAGCCGTCCGTCTGTACCATACAGGTAATTACATACTGTTAGCCTGCAGGTAATATCATTTTATAATCCCTGAGCCATAACCTGCACGTGCAATACAGCAGGACTAATCAGTCTACCAACTGAGCTATTGTTTTCTAAACTGGTTGATGACCAGCGCAGGAGCAAAGGGAAATACTTTTTTGAAAAAAAATATTATTTTCCACTGCTAAACGATGAAAGAAGGATAGTGATGTCCCGAACGGTTTGCGGAACGGTTCGCCACGGACGGCGAACATATGCGCTGTTCGGTCCGCCCCCTATGTCATCATTGAGTAAACTTTGACCCTGTACCTCACAGTCAGCAGACACATTCCAGC